CGGGGATCGAACTTGGGTCCTTGTGCTTGTGAGGCAGGCCACAGAACCACTGAGCTAAATCCCCGGCCCTGTGTTTCTTTCTTTTTTTTTTTTTTGGTGCCGGGGATCGAACTTGGGTCCTTGCGCTTGCAAAGCAGGCGGTGGAACTACTGAGCTAAATTCCCAGCCCCCTGTGTTTATTTCTTAATACCTGTTTCTGCTTAAAACTGTTAGTAAACTCAAAGTTCTCTAGAAATGTTTTGCTTTATCAATGAACTTATCTGTGCTATAAAAACCAGTATTATTCTTTTTCCTCTTTTCCTCTTTTTTTTGGTACCAAGGATCCAACTTGGGACCTTGAGCTTTCGAGGCAGGTGGCAGCACCATTGAGCTAAATCCTCGGCCCTTTCAGTAGGAATTGTTCTTGAGGGTAGTAAGAGGAGTTAATGTCTAATTTTTCCTGTGGACCGAAAGGCAGGTAAACTTGGATTAAACTTTTATCTATATTTATTTTTTGAGTTTCAGGATTAAACCTAGACCAGTTTTTTAATATGGCCCAGAGATAAATGAACGTCAGCATTACTCTGGAAGGGTCTGAGGGAGAGAAAACTCACTATTCTGGAAGCTTGGTCCTGAAATTTAGCAGACACAGAGGAGCAAAGTACCTTGAACCAAACACGTGACAACTTCATTGTTTCTTTTAGAGGCAGGACAGTGGAGAAGGGACAGAAGAGTGCCTCTAAGTATGGCACAAGAACTAAATCCTAACCTTCTCAGGGGTAGAAAGACAATGAAGATCAAGATCTTTCCTAGGGTGGGTCTGTAATCCTTAGCAACACATGTATCTATAGATAAAAACAAAGATTGAGTCCAACTGCATTGCCAAGCAGAAAATTAAACCAATAATCAAAGAACCTGAACGCCTGCCTTTTGCCTCTTGAAAGAGAGTGAGGGAGAATGAAAATGTTTTCTCTGTATTGTTCAGGGCTTACCTTTTAATAAATTATTCTGAATCTATAATATCTAATTTATTACTTAAATACCCTACAGGCTGTTGAGCAGGCAGGTCCTCAATCGTGTATAGACACTCCTAGGGCCGGGGATTTAGCCCAGTGGTTCTGTCACCTGCCTTGAAAGCGCAAGGACCCGAGTTCGATCTCTGGTACCAAAAAAAAAAAAAAGTACTAAACACTCCTAAAGTCATGGCCTGACTTTTATTAACATACAAACTGAAAAAGTGCCTGTAGGCAGGCTCAGTGTTGGGGCATTTAGAGGTCCTTATGTGAGCTTCTGGAATGTGGCCTGGGAAACAGGTTCCCAGGCTAAAATATGAGTATCTTCTGGGGATGTAGCTCAGCGGTGCAGCACCTGCCTGGCAAGCATGAGATCCTGAGTTCAATTCCTGGTACCAAAAAAAAATTTGACTATATAAAACATGGGTATCTTAGGGGCCGGGGATTTGGCTCAGTGGTTTTGCCGCCTGCTGTGCAAGCGCAAGGACCCAAGTTTGATCCCTGGTACAAAAAACCCCCCAAAAAACCATGGGTATCTGTATAAGCTGATAGAGGGGTCATGCAATCTCACTGTATCCTGCTCTTCAAATGCAACAAAAGCCTGTAATGTTTAGGAATCTCCTTGGCTGTTTTACAGTCTTGGGCTGTGGGAAGGAAATTTCTGACTTAACTCTTTCTTTAATTTGGTTTAATTCTTTGGGTTCCCTTAGATAAAATATGGCCTAAATTTTTTACCTCAAAGCTGCAAGGTTGTTCCTTACATCTAGAAACCTTATAGCCCTTGTCTGCTAGAAAATTTACCAGAGCATGGGTGTCTTGGCTAGAGAGCTCTTCTGAGGGGCCACATAACAGTATATCACCTACATATTGCAAGACTGTGACTTGCAAAAAGCTATAGTTTTTTAAAAAATCAAATCAGTAGCTGGGAATGTCCATACCCTTTCCTTGATAAATAGTTGACAATTTAAAATAAATAAAGGTTTAATTTTCATCTTTCTTAGACAATTAAGAATACCTATCTGATGGGCTGGGGATTTAGCTCAGTGGTTGGTTCCGTTGCCTGCTTCGCAAGCACAAGGACTCACGTTTAATCCCTGGTACCAAAAAAAAAAAAAAAAAGAA